CTGAAGATGCAGAAGCTGAGAGTGCGTCACTTCATGACCCGGACCCTCGGTAACCCCAACGCCACCCCGCCCTCAGGGTCCAGTTAGTCACCATAACCTTCCTTCTACCTAGCACCGCTGCTCCGTCAACAGGAAATAATACTTGATTACCTCTTGAAATTCATGACTTATAAGAAGTACTTGAAATCTGAATATGCCGTTGAATTTTAGTCTGATTCTGTCAATTCATGAAATTGGAGTGTATTGAGTTTCATAACCAATAAAAAACATGTTAGGACTGAATGCACCATTCAACTTTCAGCCGATTCTGTCTAAATGAAGAATTTCAGCATTACGTGTTAGGGAATATAAGGGAATTTTTGTGTCATTCGTCAATGGGAGAAAATATTGGACAGCAATTTTTGCTTTGATGTCGATGGGTGATATGTTGTTCCAGGGTTATGGCTTTTATGGAGTGGGAAATACAGACACAGGATGCAGGAAGTATTACCAATTTTTACAACGCATGGCAGCGAAATTGTACAGGAATTTTGAATTTTTCGAGAATGTGGCCACCAACATAAATACGCGCATGCATGATCGGATCCGATGTTTTTCAAGTATCCATAGGGCATGCTTGCTTTTTCATAAATTGATGTCAATAAACCCCCAAAAATAGTATTGATGACGTTCATGAATAGAAATTCATTTTAGAAGCTGTTGTCAATGGTAAGTGAATGAAATTAAAAACACAGCGTGTTACGTTACGTTGCACGAACAACTGTTAATGAGATGGTGTGGCTTGAACAATATGCGCTGGAAAGCAGGGGATAGGAGTACCGTATTCGTTTTTGTTTTTGATGAAACTCACAAATGGAGTTCATTTTTTTCTGAAGTTCTTTCAAGAATGGGAATATTGTCGAATAATGGAAGTCAATGATTGTAAGAATTAACTTGAGGCTCTCTTTGTGTGGACAGAATTTGTCTCATTTCTTTCACTTGACTAAATTAAAAGCTTTCAACGCTTATTGAGCAACATCTAAATGGGATTTTCTCTCGGTTTATGGAAGCATTTCTTCCTGGCTGAAGATATGAATCGCACGGTAGCGCAGCGTTAGCGGCCCTGAGATGGGAGGAGCTAGCCGTGGGTTCTATACATGTTACGTGTTGGTCTTGCTGGTGGTGGGCTCTTTGTAGCCGTCGAGGGTGGTGCTTTCTGCACGCCTTGGGATGATGTCCCTAAACGAACTTTGGGTACGTGTTACCTGGCGGGGATCTTAAGGTCTTATAGCGAGCGGTGTCTATGTCCTATGAGTGTATCCTTCAAGAGTGCTGTTGTTATGTATTTCATATACTTTTATTTTCCTATGAGGGAAAACGTGATTTATTGACAAAACGAATCTTACAATGAACACTGAACAGGTCCTTTATTCAAAAATCTAGTCTTAGAACTAAACTGGAAATTCTTACATGTGCATTGGAAAATATTCCCAGAAAGCGACTCGTTTAAATCAAGTAGAAATTTTACAAGCATTAAATTTGATGAAACGTCTGTTCTACTTGAAACGTAACTTTTGGCCTGTAAATTTAAGAATACGTGAAGGGTTACGTACAAAATTTACGCAGTTTGAATACTAATCCATGAGTAATAGAGAAACAATAATGTAATACAAATGAGATAGACTTATTCCACGTATTGCGTGAGATAAATTATATTGAACGACGATAAATGGAGTGTTTTGAGGAAACGAAGTTAAAATGAACGCGTTGCACGGAATCAATACACAAGAGGTTCTAGCCTCAAAAGGAACTAGTTCTATAGGTGACATTTTCCTGTGGTTGACGTTACGTGTTCTTGTGCTCTCTTCATTATAATAACTATAATAGCAATGATTATTATTAATAATAACGTTAACGATTATTGTTAATGATAATGATTTGATTATAAATTAATAGCATTAATGATTACGATACCGCGCATGGTTGCTTGAATGTTGTAGATAGAATCTACCCTAAAGCGTAGCTCGTAGTCATCGACGTCTATATGTGAACAACTATGAACTTGACTTTAAATTGAATATGTTATGTAGACAACTTCGACCATATGTTAACTGTTTGCCAACTGAGAGGCCATTTGTGACCTGGACCATAAATTGGACTTTCCTTTATCTCATAAGCACTTAATAATATTAATGATAATCGGACGATAACAGTTTTTATTTCACTCTAATTTTGAAGGCTTTAATAATAATAATAAAAATCAGGCTAACTTTTTATGCTATATTTGTGGGCGCTTATATCTCGGTTGAAATACGATCGACAATTCTGAATCGTGGGTTCAACTTGATGTTATAGTATTACATTTAGTTTTGATTATTGAACAGCGTTGTGTGATTTCTACAGATTTCGCACATGGTAACTTTAGATGGCAATAATTTGAATTGCAATGCATTATTAAGTTTCATTAATTCCATTATTTACAATTATCATATGCGTCACAGTATTGTTATGAGTGTTATATTTGTAATATGCTGGAGTAATGTTTTAGGTGACAGTATTATTATAAGTTACAGTAATTCTATAAGTTCCAGTATCGTTATGATTTACCGCATTTAACTATACGTTCCAAAGGCGTTGGTATACATAGAGCTCCAAACTTTATAACCGTAGAATGTTTGTTAGTAGGCTTAACCTTGCTCTAACCTAACCGCTCTAACACTTTCTGGTTAGATCGTTATAACCTTTCTCTCTCGATGCCGAGGGATCTCTAGACTATTTAGAGTTGTTTCCTGAACATTTTCTATGCGAAATCCGTATCGTTGTGGACCCCGTTAATATAAGGTTAAATAAACCTTGATTTTTAATCTCATTAATTGAGGACTTTCTAGAGTCTATAAGCATTAACCGAAATGGCACACTTCCATATTAACTTTTTGTATCGGAATGTATTACCTTCTAGAACGAAGTAGAAAAAAGTTTGAAAAATCCGATGTAGAGCAGTTAATTCTCAACGCGTTAGCCGCAATACATTTCAAAACTTAAACAGACAATGCGTATTGTGCAATTTTGATATCATGAATTGATGGACGCACTATAAACGTAGCGGAGAACATAATATTCTGCTTAAAAACAAATGTAGAGCTAAATGTTATTGAATTTATCGATATCAGGTGATTTGCGACCGAACAGGTTCGTCAAACAATGAAGATTAATTAATCGTGCTTATATAGTAAAGGTAGATTTTGAAATTTAGATTCTCAAACACGTTTTGATTCTCGAACAACTATGAATAAAAAAATATTGATGTTGAGATGTTTAAAAAACATTTGTTATTCGTGTAACTTCACATTTTTTGCATGAGCTTCATTCATGTCTACGTTTTTTCTAGATAAGTTGGAGAATTCACAAAAAAATATGTTGCATTTGCGAATCATAAGATAAACTTTTTAAATCAACCTAGAATTAGTAAATTTTTTTCTGAGATGAAGCGAATAAATGTAAAGAACTCTGCATAATAAGTCTCATATGTGGGGATTTTTTTCAAAGCTTGCCTATTAAGTGTGTCATACGGTATTTCATTGTAAATTTCACTCTACTTTAATTGGTTTATAATGACGTTATCGTTGGATCATTTAATTTTATGGAGAAAAAATGGAGCCTACACTGGAAGTTTAATAATGTTTCCATTATAGTCAGAGACAATCTGCAAAAATTAGACATTCAAAATCTGAGTTTACATTAATTTATTCAGGTTCCTTTTTTATAAGATTATAAACATTTCTAGTTGGGTTCCATATTTAGCCGTGTTATGAAGTTTAGATTATATATGAGTATGAATAAATTTTGTTCATATGATTAGATGTTGAAAAAATAAATTCCAATGATAACTGTTGATCTGTTGTACTATGTGTTATTTTATTAGAAATCTCTATCGATTTTAGCTGCTCATTCGTCAATTCAATAATTCGTGTATATTTAATTAGCGTAGATGAACAGTAAAACCGTGACATATCAATTTTTGTTATGCATTATTGATTAATAATAATTCTTATAGTTAACTAAGACGAGACCGAAGCTCAAGTCTTCGTGCAGTGTAATGATCAAAAATTCAAATTTTAGTTGTTTAAAAGTTTTTTTTGCGTTTTTATTCAACGATTTCATTTTTTTTTACTTACTGAGATAAGTTGTGAGATCAAGCTAGTAGTGAATACAACGAAGAAATAGGTTCGCTTAGCATTTGATCCTCATTGAATTTTGAAAGAGTTGTCGCACGAAATATATCTAGATTTATACATGACATATTTTGAATTGTGTTTGGATTTGTAAAACGTACATGTTCACATTCAAAATTCGCTCGTTTTTGTACATGTTCTCATTGAACATAATTTCCGATTTAAATATGTTTTCATTCATTCATTTGAAGGGCAAAAAGTGAACAACGTATGCTGGAATTTCAACATTTCGGTGTTAATTTGCTGGGTGGTTATCAACTTTAATACGGTTGTAGATAAATTTATATTCAGTTCAACATAAACCATCAATATGAGAAATTTAATTAAATAAAAATTTAAAAATTACTCAAAGTTTGACTGCGATTGTCATCCTAAATAAGACAAAAATATCTTATATCGCAAAATATCTTATCAAAGGGGATATTACAAATTTATTTCAACACCATGAAAACATCAGACGGTGTAGTATTATTTTATATTTTCACTTGTATGCATTATTAATAGTTTGGTGCTAACTAGGCAATCACTAGCGGCTAGTTACACTTGTGGCAATGTCCAATTTCTACGTAACTAGATTATGGCTAACTTTATAACGCGTCCCTAATTTTTATATCTTTTGACGTTCTCTCGTATCAATATGAATTGTTAGGTCACATACGTAAGTAATTGAAGTAGTTTCATCTAAATAATTTTCGTATAGTGAAGCTAAGAAGGGATGAAGATGGATTGAAATTGTTCATTCTGACACATGCTTTCACATTTTATTTCGTGTGGAAATAGTTCCTACTGAATTTAACATTTCAAATTTATAATTCCTGTTCTAATTGGACACACATTGAATGTTGTGAATTTCATGTTGTCTGTTGTAGCTGCCGATCATGATGACCGAAGCAAGTATTTAGTTTTTAGTTGATTTTTTAATTCAAATTTACTTGCAAGTAAAGTCTAAATTAAAGTATTATTGCTCTTGGAAACTAGGGCTTTTTAATCATAGCCTCCCTATATACATTTTGTGGTTTTAATCATTCTAAATATGTTGCTTTTTGAAACTCACAATTTATAACACATAAACATTCATTTTATATGAAATACGATGTCATATGAGACACAGCGATGACATTACGTAGAAATTTTTAAGTTGAACATTATTATGTATTAACATACACACACAGTAACTGAACATTAGGATACTGTTGTTTGAAAGATTAAAGTAAAATTATGATACAATTCAATTTGAGCTTAAGTTCAAGCCAAGTTCGAAAATTGCGTTATAACTTTGTTTATGGAAGTTAAGTTGCCGAAAATCATAAACTGTTGCCGAATTTGCTGTCAACTTGTTGCCTTGCTCGCATTTATGTAGCAGTATGAAAATTACTCGTTATTCAGCGCACATTTCATCTTATTTATCAATAACAATTTTAAAGCTTCTAAATACTTCTCAGAGCATACAATATCTCTCGTTTTATAAGCGTATGCGTGTTGCATGTTCAAATGTCCAACATTTAAATTTCGATTTTCCTACAATTCTAACGCTTCAATACCCACTTTTCAGATATTGTTAGAATAAAAAAGACGAAGACTTCACAATGTAGAAAAACATGAAGGAAGTCATGTGTGATGTGTGAAAATAATGTGCTCGTTTTCGTCCGTTGTGTGTGTCACGTTCAACTTTTATGCAGTTCTTCTAGCGAATAAAATTTATGTTTTAGGTCATAGAGAATAAGACGTGAGCCATTTTCCATCAATCTACTGGGGCAATTCAGTTTATCTAAACTGGAATTTTTCTTCTTCTTATCACAAAATTTAGATTTCATTATAAAACACTCACAGTGTACCTGCTGGTACAATAGAAATTGTTTCATTTGTACGTTTAAATGATCTATTATGTTACATAGGCGAGTTCTGACAAACACTCTTCTGCCTAATAAAATAATGTTCTCAGACTAAAGAGTTCTTTTATTACCTTGTATTCTGTTTACATAAAACCCATCAAGTAATCCACATCTGAAAAATTCCTGGGAAAAAAACGATTTCTTGGCCAAAAAATTTCGAAGCTCCTTGACTTCAATCCCTCACCAAAAACTCAAGAAATGAATGCTTAAATAACTAATACTGATCGTAAAGAAAATTCAGAAATAAAACTCAAATACAAAATTTAACGCACACGAGCATGCTATCAAATACAGTTCCTGCTGCTTAAAAAATTATTTATTCGACTGGCATCAACATTGTGACGACCAAGGCTATAATGAACTGCACTCCATGATACCTATTTACCGTGCCCTGGCCGCAGTTACCGTCGTCCCTGACCGACTGTATAGCTGCTGTCCTGACTGTATATTCTCCAAGTTGATCATTTTTAATGGTTGTTCTCGTTTCAACTTTAGGCATCGTTGAAAAAATTTCACCCGTGAATTCTCCCATCTCGTCGTCGTATGCAGCCTGTTCGAAAAATTATATGGCGTTATTGATTCAGAAGATAAAATGGTATTCACTATTTACAATAATGAACTTATTATTTGTGTACTGTGGGACCAATAATAGATTCAGAAATGTTAACTAAAGAACATACATACATTTTTTTAATCTCACAAATCAACATAGAAATCATATACAAAATTAAGGATGTTAAAACTCATAAGACTTATACGTATAAGGGGTGAAAAAATAATCCTCAACTACATTCAGGATCTAAAGTGACTAAAGTGAATGAAAATTGTAAGCTAATTTGAATATTGATACGTGATAGTAGTCAAGATCAAAATAAGGTTTCCCGATGAATAGGGACAAAATTTTCGATGGCGTATAAAGCCTCATCGATGGATCAAAATAAAAAACTTTATTACTAAATGGTATTGATAAAGATTTAACCTAAACTTTACGTCTGGATAGTTTACTCTGCTACGTTTTAGCGTAAGATTTTTCAGCGAGTTATCATTGATACCAATCGGTTTTAATGAACTCTGACCGATTGATGGAGCTGGCAGACAATCGATCATGCTGCTTAAATCGAAATTTGGAACTTTAATGAAGCAAAACAATCATAGCTTGATTGATATTTTATGAATCAAAGTAATTCCAAGCAAACTGATTCTGCCCTTTTCTTACCCTGACTCCAACATGATACTGCTTCTCGGGCTGCAGCTGCTCAATTGTATACGTTAATAAATTTCCTGGTATAAGATATTTCAAGACAGGAGCATTCGATGCATTTATTTCTTTTACTTCGATCTCGTAATTGGTGGGCTTTGCCAGCAGCGGCTCACTGGACAGTTGAGGGTTACTGGATAGTAATGGATCACTGGACAGAAGTGCGTCTCTGGGCAGAAGTGGGTCACTGGACCGTTGTGGGTTTCTGGACAGAAATGGGTCACTGGACCGCAGTGGGTCACTGGACAGTAAAGGGTTACTGGACAGAAGTGGGTCATTGGACAGAAGTGGGTCATTGGACGTTAGTGGGTCACCAACTGCATCACTAAGACCAACTGGACGATCTAAATTTGCGTTCTTTGGCAACTGAAGAATTTCCTCCGCATCACGGCCGGCTGGTGGTTGCCACGCCACTGTCAGGGATGTGCTGGTGCTGTCCAGTAGCCTCAAGTCCCGCGGTGCTGGCAACGCTGTCGACAAAATATTTCTGTTAGCTTCAATCCAAAGGTAGGTGCAGAGAAATTATTGATATTTTCCGAAAGAAACAATTCACTTTTTGCCATGGGTGTGTCATTATACACCAGTTTGGTCGCTAAAAAAAGGCCATAGCTAGGCGGAGAAAATGTTTCATTATTTGGAAAATACTTTTTTACGGGAAACGCTATCATATCTTGTCAAAGTTCACATATTTTTAACATGGGTTTGCAATTTTCCTACTCGATCAGGACCATCAGGTTAGCTTTCTCAACTTTCTTCCGTAATTAGAAACGCAAATGAGAAAAAAACGATTAAAAAGTATAAAAGCAACAGGGAAATTGTAATTTGAATTTTAACCTTCAATCGATAATCATCAGCAAAATGAATTAGGTAGAATTCTTCTCTGAAACTTTCAATGCAATAATTATGAATTATGGGTCAAATCACCATCGTGGTTACCGGGTTTATTCCTTTGGATTACTCACTGAATAATCTAAAATGACTATATAAATAGAGGAATTTTTCAAATGAAATAAATAAATAGCGAGTAAATAAAATAACGTTATTAACTCATTCATACAGACAATGTTGAAGTCTAAAAGTTCTTATTTTTCCTTCGTCGAAATCAACTTAAATCTTTTCGGAGCTTTGTTTAGATTCTTACTTCGTCCGAACCAGCTCACCTCTTTTTGGAGTTTTCACTTTAGCACAGGAAATTTCTCGGTTCTCTGCGAACTCTACATTCGCTGAAACGCAGACCTGATACAGTGCATTGGCATGGGGAGAACGGATGTGGTATTCGGTGTCCTGATGGGTATGGTCGCTCTCACTCATACCAAATTTTGGTGCTTCTAATGTAATATTTTGCCAGTGGAATTCATTGAAATTCTGCAGGTCCGTGAACTTGTAGGATAAACTGAAGGAAGTTATCGGACATGCTGATTCAGTGGGCTTCCAGACAACCTTGAGGGATTGGTTCTCAACTTCGATAGTTATTTTTTCAATGGAGGGTGCTGGGGAAAGAGGAAGCATTTAATCAACGTTTTTGACTTTTTAATAATGTTAGAATATATACAAAGGCAAAATTACTGCTTAAAGATTACAGTACGATTAAAAGTCGAAATGCAAGAAAATAGAATGACGCCAAATAAGAATTAAACTGGTGGCTAAGCTTAAAAATCTTAGCATTGTTGTACATGTGGTGGTAATGTGTTGAATCCGGAAAGGTTTATTTGGCCATTGAAGTTATAGTTTTTTAGTGCCTAAAGTATATAATGAGTACCGATCAGTATGCAGAGAAAGGATACTAAAGTTTTAGACACAATTATTTTCACACATGCTTCATACCATCGAGTGCTAGATGTTGTTAGAGCGTCGTATTATATGCATTGTTATTTTTTATGAAGGAACAGTCCGAAAAGTCGGGTTATTTCAAGATTCCAAGACAACCAAGGATTTAAGAAAGCACTTGTAAAAAATATTCTTTGACAATTCTTTAAAGAGAAGAGGACGGTAAGTGAAAGTTTTCATGATGCTTATTGACCGGTTTATGAAATTCAACGCACGAAGATTATTACCAGAAATGAACCAAAAAATCTAATTTATGATAATATTTACATTAAAAGATAATCATATGAAAACAATCAGGTACAAAAAATAAACATTAACTTGTCATATATTACAGAAGTTTTGTCATATGCAATAATCTCAGATGACAGACACAACATTACTACTACAATTACTACCACTAGCACTACTAATCGTATTAAAATACCTAAACTTTTTCTTTTAATGGCGGCACGCCAGTAATACGAAAAATTGCGCTCTAACAGCGCAGTTTGTAAAAAATTATACCCGAAATGAAAACATGACTGACAGATAGAAAGAATTTTAGCACGTTGACTAAGATTGCTTCATCTTGTATTATTATTTAATTTTTTGTATTTTTTTAAACAGGGTTGCCAGACGGTCATTTTTCAGGACAAATTCCGTGATTTAGTTTTTCTCAATTGCGTTGGCCAGCTAAAATTTATGATAGGGGTACTTCTTAATTAAATTTTAAATACTGCATAAAGAAAATAAATAGAAAATTTTAATAGCGGAACCTACAAATAAACTAGTATATATTGAGTTATCGGCCTTTTTTGGCCTTTGTTGTTCTCGGATTTGGCCGATTTAATGCAACCTGAATTATGTACCACTACCTCCTGGAGAAATACATTTCGTGGTACGCATATGTACCACTTCGGAGTCAACGTGTTAAAACGAGTATACCATGCCGTCACGAGTGTGCCGTCATTATCTATATCCTGATGCAACAATGCATCCCAGTTTTCATATTACAATCTAATACTACACATGCATCCCCTGTAATAATCCGAATACTAATCCTATATGTCCCACTGTAATCAGAATACTAATCATTAAAATTCTATTGTAATCTAGATACTGCTCATGTATATTCTACTATAATCTGTATAATCATCATGTGCATCCTATTATAATCTGAGTTCTACCGTCGTCGTATATTTTGTGCCCTATTACAATCTGAATAACATTCTTGAATGCCACAATATAATCTGAATAATTATCATGTATAGGTACCTTATTATAATCCAAATTTTAATCACGTATGCCCTATTATTACCTGAATTCACTGAATTACCCACCCTGAGGCGCGGTTATCACCTCCTCCGTGTAAGGCCCGTCGAGCGTGGCTCCAGTCTCGTCGAAAAGGGTAAGAATTTTCTTGTATTTTGTGCACGGGGGAAAATTTCTTAACTTTTCTTCCATTTGCGCGTAGCTCGGGTGGGGGAGAGAGCTGGCGTCACTCATTGTGGAGAAGGAATATCCGCAGAATTCGGCATCATACGTGGCATTCAATGGATTTTTTATATATATCTTCGTTTGAGCTACGAGGCATTGCGGTGAAGTGCAGTCTTGGGAGATTTCTGAAACGCATAAAAAATGGTAGTAATTTTGATTATTTTTCATGAAAATTATGTTTTTCGAGAAGCTTTGCATTTAATCAAATGTCAGCAAATTTATTAGAATATTTTTTACGCACATATAATTTTATGGTATGTCAATTGTAAAATTTTTATAGTGGTTGAAGTGAAACTTGAGAAAAGAATAATATGGAAGAGATTTTCTTACAAAATCAAATTATCAGGATATTGTTGGCTGCTCGAAAAATCTATTGTTCAATTTCACAAATGATCTTCATTACGAGCACTTTTACATCTAAGAATGATTGCTTTCACCAATCCGAAAAAAACTCTCAACTTTATGCTATACAACTATTGATTTGTTGTCTATTCATCGCAATTTACTATCAAATTAATTCAAAGTTATTGATATCAATAATATTCTGGAAATGTATTCACCTCCCAAATCTTCCCGCCTGCAGTTTGATTTGAAGGAGGAGGTGTGGCCGACATCTATTAGCTGCGGAAATAACATAATGTTAGGATTTATTGCAGTTATTGAACGTTGAAGTTATTGAAAAGTTGGAACGTTTAAATTAACAAGTACATTGGAAAAATGTTCCCAATTGCTGAAATTAAAAAATACGGAATGCACAGCACTAATGTGTCCTTCAATATTACTTGTTTTCAGGTAACAATAAATATTTTAGTGATATTAGATTAGAAATTTTTTCTCGTATAGAAATAGACGTTTTTATTAAAATTTCACTAACGAAGATATAAAAAAATATTAAAATCATAATCTTGTTTCATATGATTCTGTGTCAGCAGAGTTACCCATGGGTTGAAGTGCTTTGCAATTTGGCCAAAGTCTCACTTATTCATCTGAGCGTGCCATACACTGAAGCAAAGGATAAATATATCGTCTGCCCCCGAATTATTATATACATATTATGTTTTATTCATAATGAATTCTTGAACATTATTTTAGTCTCTTTCTCATATTATTCTGAAATGAACATGAGTGATACGGTTTACAAGAATCTATGGTGCATTTTACCTCGACAGGATTCTTTTGTTTCTGACTGAGATATCGAAAAAAATTGACTTGAAACTTAGCATGAAAGAGAATGAAGCATTGAGAGAAAAATTTGACAAATTTGATATATTAACGGAATGTTGCCGGGGTCAGACGGTAAGAACATTTCGACATTTTTGCCAAACAACCTAGCAATTCGTGCTTAATATGTCTTATAGACACCTAAAATGAGTATAGTACAAGTCATGGTACATTTCTTAGTACATGTCATAGTACATGTCATAGCACATGTCATAGTACATGTCGTAGTACATGTCATAGCACATGTCATAGTACATGTCATAGTACATGTCATAAAACAAGTCATAGTATATGTCATAGTACATGTCATAGTACATGTCCACAAGGAATTAAAAAGCAAAGAAAACGCCAAGAAAATTCACCATATCGATATTGAAAACGTTTCGGAGTCCAGCTCCATCATCAGTTCGACTAAACTAAAAATGAATAAAATCACTTTAAAAGTCAAAATTCAAAGACAGACATAAANGATATGGTGAATTTTCTTGGCGTTTTCTTTGCTTTTAAATTCCTTGTGAACTTGCGATATAAGCAGACTAATAATATAAGTACTTATAGTACATGTCATAGCACATGTCATAGCACATGTCATAGTACATATCATAGCACATGTCATAGCACATGTCATAGTACATGTCATAGCACATGTCATAGTACATGTCATAGTACATGTCATAGTACATGTCATAGTACATGTCATAGTACATGTCATAGAACATGTCATAGTACATGTCATAGAACATGTTAAAGTACATGCCATAGCACCTTTCATAGTACATGTCATAGCACATGTCATAGCACATGTCCTAGAACATGTTATAGTACATGTCATAGTACATGTCATAGTATATGTCATAGAACATGTCATGGTACATATCATAGCACATGTCATACTACATGTCATAATAAATGCCATAGTACATGTACTATGACACACTAAACAATATAATTACAAATTTCTGATTACAATTAATTTTCCTCGGTTACTAGACGAGTAGTTTGCGGCTCTTCAGTTTTGTGATAACTGAATTTAATGACTATTACTAGAATAATATTCTATTGGTTATTAATATTTATAATCACTAAAGAAATATCATTAATAATAAACCATAGTCTTATAAGCTAATAATAAATTCTAAATAGCTCTGTATTGCATTTCACAAGAGAAATATATCAATAATACACACTTAAACTTATAACTACGCTGTTATGATCTCATATGTATTCAAATAGAGGCTAAAAACTTCCGATTTGTAAATTTTTTATGTTACTGAACATAAAAAAATGTTACGCCATGTTGTGCTACAATAATTAACTCACCAGCACTATTGCACATATGAAAACAGCAGCTCTATGGACCAGCATTATTGACATGAAGTAACATCACCAATTTAATTGTGCCATCATGAAAAATAAAGATCATAATCTATAATGGAAGCGAAAAATCTCAAACAGGACAGCGCAGTCATCGTTCACGAAAATCAGTTGAATGGAATAATTCGATTTACAAAATCGTAGCTGGAATATTAAAAAAGAGATTTTTATGAATTAAAATTTAAACTCGAAATTTTAGTTTCTCGTCTATTTGATTTAAGAAAATAAATTGAGTGGTAATAAACCTTTATTATAATTTATATTTCAGTAAAACGATCAAATTACATGTATTACGATCAAACGCTGCGTGAAAAGAATTTGACTATATAATACATATAATATACTACATCATTTTATTTAGCTCCGAATATCAATCAAAAATCGCGAACGATAGTTGATTGGGAAAAATAACTTCAGACGTTGTTCATAATCACTGCCCCCTAAGCTTGAATTTAAAGAAAATTTACATAATCGCACAGACGAGAACAAAAAACTTTTCCATATAATTGGATTTTAAAAAGTTACAAAAACAGCAGCATTTCAAGTATATTGGTCAAGAAATAGATAAAGGACACTAGATATTTGGTCGAAGATAGAATTATTTTCAATATTTAAACACGAAACACCTCAATGCTGCACATGAGTTGAAGAAACTGAGAGGGTGATATTGTCGCGTCGTCGCTCGAATAATCTTATCTTCATGCTGATAGTACGATTAGTGTTGCAGACAGTCGCAGTACGCATGGGAAATGCAGTCATCGTTGGCAGTCATAGTCCGCATAGGAATGCCGTCATCGTCGGCAGTCATAGTCCGCATATAGGAATGCAGTCACAGTCTTCTGTCATAGTCCGACATTCCGCATCACTTCGGCGCTGAAGTTTCGTAGTTCACCTGTAGGAGCTTAATTACAAGCGATTAGTCTGTCAGCTGAGCTATATGGGTGTGTCGAATCACCAGTAATTTGGTAACATTTGCCTGCTATTCGTTCCATTATTAATGCTTAATCCTCAGCATCATCGTAGGCTGATCTTATCATAGAATGAGGAAGCGTACATCACAATGTGTCGGTAGTTTTCTTTCCTTGTCCCAAGGTGAGAAAAATAATACAGTATCTATTTATGCTAGTTTACATACGACTGCGCTTTCGTCTAAACTATTAGGGAAAATATTTTTTTTAGTTGTAACATTCTGCTAATATTTACTGGTTCAGCCCAAGCCTCGTCTCCGGCCAGTGAACCGACATTCATGCAGTTACGTGACGATGTCGCTCGTAACACAGCGAGACTCATAATAATGTAATAATTATTATATATTATTATGTTACATCATAATTATACAGTGCGACTCATAATAATGTTACAATTTTGATTTAATAATGATAACTGCATTTTAGTGTAGTATTGATATATATTATCATCAAAATTATTATATGCATATACATCAATGAAATTTGATATGAGTAAGATTTTCAGGAAATTGTAATGACAAAAGTTGTTATTATTGCAAATAGTTTATTATTATTTCCTATGTTATTCGACAGCGTTTACACAAACAATAATACTGATTCTTGGAAAATAATGTTTCTCGAAGTCATTATAACTTTCAAATTCAGATGAGTTTTTGAACGCATTTTTGTCGTTAGTATTAAAAATCACTGTGTGAACACAGACTGTGTGTACACAACTGTGTTCAGTTGCACATCGTGCACAACTATATTTATAAACTAGGGACGATCGCATATGCATAGGGAGAGAATCTCTGTACCTAAAAAAAGAACCAATTTTTAAAAATCACTCTAAAAATTAATCTCATCAAGTGAGTAATTAAATTTAATGAAACTTATTCAACTTATAGCGATTTATGAATAATAATTACTTTAGGTAAAATCACAATATAAATCTCAACCTGAACTGCAGTTACGAGAAAAACACACAAATTCATGACATACCCAGCGCCAAGAGTTTATATTGAGAATTTAATTTTGAAATGAACGCTTTGATAAAATTATTTAATACTCATCAACATTTTCTTACTTCCTATTGCTCCAGATATTTCTCTAGGGGTATTTAAATATTTCAAAATACATATGTAATTACTACTGAATTGATTGATTAATATCAATTATTTTTCAAATTTATTAATTCGATAAATATAGCTATGATTGACGACTAATAAAAATAATAATATCTTCCATGATTGTAATGAGATCTAAAAATTGTTCAGTAATTGTGGTGAGACATTGTGAGTTCAGAAGCTAATATATAAAATTTTTTCGTAATACTCTTTCTTGACAAAAATATGTTCGCTATTACATTTATTTTGGCAGTCTTTTATCATTGTCATTTCGAAAAAATGATAGATTCATTCTATAGCTGACCACAACTAAAATTATTACATTGTGAACAATAAACTAGGCTACAATTACATATCGATTTCAAGGCTTTTCTATGATTTAAGTTTAACTAAGGAAATGAATTATTGTCCGCTAGCCAACCAAATTAAGCGTTATGCAATTTAGATGCGCAAGAATGAACCTCGATCACATCGGGTTCTGACTAATGCAGTTCACTTCTATTATTTGCTAAGTGGAATGCTCGGAATTTACAAATTAGATTTGAACTGACTGAAGTTTCGAAGTTTTGTATAGATTGGGTATGAAATATCAGAAAATTCAAATCAATGAAAAGGGATTTTCTACTAATTTGAACAACGAGGCTACAACTAGAGTCAAAATGAGCAGCGTTCCTGGATTCATATCTCCTGTTCCACAGTCGGAATTCTCTCCTGTTTTGTCAAAAGAATTATCTCTCTCAATGTTAGACTGAACAGCAGCAGGACTGACTGCGATGTCTGTACGTTCAGTTGATGTGGAATCTTCCCTCGGTCCAGTCAAAAAAATTTTGCCAGTGAAAGGTCCCATTCCTTCTTCGTAGTTGGCCTGAGTGGATAATGATTATTAATTACTTTCTATTTGCAACAAGCAAAGTTTTTGTTAATTGTATATTAAAATAATTATAAGTAGCGAATAAAATACCATAACTTTATTTTAAATTTAATTCTATACTTGTATTCATTTTTAGTTCACAGGTCATAGATTTAATACACAATAAGACGGTCAATTTGAAGTTTTTTTTTTAAAGTTTATGCTAAGTTTACGATCACAATATTTAGTTTGAACATTCAATGAGGTGCTCAGAAATATCTCCTATCGTTTTTGTAATATATCAGAAAATGACTCACAATTATTAAAAAAACAAAGAAAAAGTTATAATCTCATGGCCAATCGAATCTGTAAGAAACCTAAATCACTCTTCTCAAAACCGTAAGATGAAGGGGAGGCATTACGAAAGGCCATGCTGATGCACCGCATTCGACACCTATCACGCTACATTAACCACCAGGCATCAAACCAGTTAGTGAACGGAGGCTTCCCAAGGCTCAAGGGCTATGTATTCTCATGTCAGGGCCGCTGCCACTGCGCTACAAGCTTATTAGTGAAAAACATTCAATAATCTCTAACATTTAACTGGAAACTGATTGAGTTATGGAAGGTCTAACGTGATTCATGGTAAAGGAAGCAATTTATCCAGATTGAGTCCTCATAGAAGATATATTTAAATAAACTTCATTCGTGTCAAAGCTACAAATGAGTACCATCGAAACAATCCATTATGCTTACTATAACATTTACAATTATAGGTTAAATGAAAATTAATCCAATTAAATCTTCCATCAACCACAGCACGAGTAGAATTTCTTACCCTAATCGCAACTTGATATCGCGTCTCGGGCTTCAGCTGCTCGATAATAAATGCCTTGAAGTCTCCTGGTAATGAATATGTTAAAACAGGAGCATATGCCGTAGAATTATCTGTCACTGCAATCTCAAAGTTCGATATTTTGGTTTCCCGTCTTCCCAAGTACATGTTTGAATCCACTTCCTCATCCGCACTTATGCCGTCTGGTAGTTGCCACGCCACCGTCAGGGATGTGCTTGTGCTGTTCAGTAGCCTCAAGTCCCGTGGCGCTGGCAGCGCTGGAAAAAATGATACCTTTATAGGTACACAATGCAACGAGCGTGAACATACTTATTTCATAGGATATTTAATGTGAATATTGATTGTTTTGAAATAGCAGCACTCTAAGATATTCAACTTGATTAGAGTTCCATTACATAGACTAGTAATGGTAGGAACAAATGAATTCTGTAAAACATTAAAAAAAACTATGGATGAAATGAACATGTTTATTTACTAATTTGTTTGATTTGACTAGTGATAATAAGAACATACTTTTTCATCTACATTTAATTTGACTAATTATAGTGTGTAGATCTAATTTTATTTCTGCACCCTATGCAGCAGACTTTTATTTTGATTTGTAAATGAAAAGATAATTCCGATTAGAACGCACGTGATAAGTTTGCTTTCCAAATTTTTATGTTTGATTCTAATAACTTTCTGCTTACTCCAATGCTCCGTCAATAATGATAACCATTAAATAATAATGTACAATTGATGACGAATTTTAACATATATAAAGGAAAATATTCTCAAAGTGCTTCTACAACTTTCCCACCAGGCATGTGACGTTAGAAAACGTTGATTGCGAGTGCATTTCGTAGAAACAACGTTAAAGAAAAGTTTTTTCGACGTTAAATGGTTAAACGTCTGCTGGATTATAATTTTTTATGTCTTTGCGCTAGAACGGTTGATTATCTGGTGATTTTAACAAAAAAGTCCCACCTTTGCCAGGAGTTTTAACTCTGACGCAGGATTGCTCAGCGCTCACGGAAAGATTTATTTCAGCTGCCACGCATACATGATACAGCGCGTCGGCATGCGCGGCGCTGATGCGGTATTGGTGATCTTGCAATGAGGCGTTCAAGTGAACAATTTCCTTGTGGTGATCAGGGAATGTTGACGGGTCGGTGTAGGTGATGGAGATGTTGTAGGAGGTTATCGGGCATAGCGAAACTGGAGGCTCCCATGCGATCAGGACGTCACGATTGTCAATTGCGACGGTCAAGTTTGCGACGGGCGGTTCTGCTGTGGAAAAAACATTATGTGCTTTAATGTTTATATGTTGAATGTATATATCATAACGGTGTGTCATAAAGGAATGGTTCTTTTGCTGA